CCAGCTTCATTCTCCACCAGCAACTTGAATTTCTTGAACATAGCAGCCACTACATTTTTCTGCTTCAGAAAATACACCCAAGCCACCCTTGAGTAATCATCAATGAAGAGTACAAAGTACCTACTGCCATTTAAGGATTTAGTCTTCATAGGACCACACACATCCGTGTGGATCAATTGTAGCTTGTGACTTGCTCTCCAGGCTTGATCCGAAGGGAATGATGGCCTGCTAAGTTTGCCAAGTTGGCAGGCTGTGCATAAGGACTTTTTCTTCTCTATTTCGGTCAAATCCAGCACCATGTCTCTTGTCTTGAGTACTTTAATTCCCAAGTAGTGAAAGTGCCCAAGCCTTTTATGCCATAACTCAGACTCTTCAACCTTACTGGTTAATGCTGAATTTACTGGTTTTTTCCACTCTACTGGGAAGCTTTTTCCCAGTATCCTAACACTCATCAATTCATTTCCCTCACAATCATTTATTGCACAAGCATGGTTTTGAAAGTGCAAAGTGTAATTCTTTTCTAACATTTGACCTACACTTAATAAATTTTGTGCAATTTCAGGGACAAATAAAACATTTGAAATGATCTTGGTACCTACTTGAGTTTGGACTGCCACATCTCCAATCCCTTTTGCCTCCACAAATTCACCATTTCCAACCTTGGCCTTGGAGCTGTAGGCTCTATGTAACCTGACAAAGTTCTCCAATGTTGCTGCTGTGTGGTTAGTACAACCACTATCTATTAACCAAACATCACCGCTGGTCTACATGGAGTAGCATGAAGCTACAAACAGCTGCTCTGGTTCACTACTCTGCTGCTGGTCTTCTGCACTTTGTGCTTGCTGTGATGGCTGTGTATTTTTATTCCTGCACACTTTTTCAATGTGCCCAAACTATTTGCACCCTTTGCATTGGATCCCAGGTCTGAACTAGCACTTACTGTCCGGATGTCCCTTCCTTTTGTAGTGGGAACATGGTGGATAATTTCTTCCTCCACTCGGCCTTCCCCACCAGTTCTTTCTTTTCCTCTCTTATCCCCAGCATATTTTCTATTGCTTCCCTACACATTCAATCCCTTTTGAGCAGCCATCATAGCACCTTCATTTGAGTCCTCTTGCCTCATCAACCTTCTTTGTTCTTGGACCTGCAGGGCATGAACCAATTCAGTGAGGCTGATTTGGGAGAGATCCTTTGAATCCTCTAAGGAAGATATCTTGGACTCAAATCTTTCCGATAGGCTGACTAACACTTTCTTAACTATCATCTTGTCACTCATCTCAACTTCCACCAATCTGATCTTGTTCACCACACTCATAAGCCTATCTACATACTCTTTAACTTTCTCTACCTCCTGCATTCTCAGCATTTCAAACTCTCTCCGCAGGTTCATAACTTGCATATTTCGGGTTGTATCACTTCCCATGAACTCCTCCCTCAATCTATCCCAAGCTTCCTTTGCAGTTTCACACACCATTATTCATGTAAATACAAGGTTTATTACTGCAGAATGTATGTCAGAAAGGGCTCTTGGAGCTTTGGACATCTCCTCCTCATACATCCTCATTTGATTCAAAGTTGGGTTTGGACCAAGCTACAGTGGCTGTTTCTCCTCTTCCACATACTGCCACAGCCCTTGCCCTCTTAGGTAGGCTCTCATTCTAACAACCCAGATATGATACTGGTCCCTATTGAACATTGGAGGTGAGAGAGAAGCCGATTCAGTTGCCATGCAAAACCAGGTTGCAGTTTTTCTAGAAAGTGTTGTTCTTAAGGAAGGTTGAAGTTTAATGGTGATTCAGAATGCATTTTTGTGAGTGAATTTGTTAGATGATAGTTTGTTAATGCAGCTCTGATACCATGTTAGTGTTTAAGCTAATGCCGGATGTGCAAAGAAAAGGAGAACAAAAGAAAACTGATATGCATTCATTAGTCAACAAAACCTGCATATAACATACTTTGGCTTACTGTTTCAACTACTATTTGTAAACTTTTACATAATCTCAACTAATCCACACAAATCTAACAACTTCATTACAAATAAGAGAAAGTTAGCTGAGTCATCAAATTCAAAGTTAACATACAAGTTGACAGAAAAAGGCTTAAACTACTACACTCTAAATAGCAACATGCACGTCACTTGTGCAGTAGGAAAATAGCTTCAAACTTTCAGTTCCAGCAAAACATACTTCCAGCACATTATCAACCTTCATCACCATCATCATGTGCTGAAATAGCTACTGAAAAATATATACTTTAATTGGTTGGAATCATCCATGTGAGTTGTGACATCTAGAAACTTGTGTGTGATTACTACATTTAGTGTAGTTATTCTCAATATGCCTGTATCATACACTGTAGGAATCATATTTAATTTTTCTTCTTCTTTCTTCAGATGTATAGATGAAAGTATAGATTGTCTACTATTGCTCCTATTTTGACTTTTATAATGAATTTTTCGCACCAACTTAAAGAATCTAAATACTACAAGACAAAAATTCTAAGATGTCATTGATGCGTTGTTTGATATAATGTATTCTACCATGGTTAGTATTTATCATCTAAATACACGGGAATATTTAGTTCCTACAAATGAAGAGGAACTAAAAATTCGTGAGGAGAAGAATAAAGAACCTCCATCTACACCATCGAATAGTACTTGAGAAAAAAATAAAACAGTGTACACATTTGCTTTATCATTAAAATATAAATATTAAATAAAATTCACTTCAAAATCTAATAAATCAAATATTTCAAAATTGTATTTCAAATTAAAGATTCACTGATTCTCGAACATTCAACTGACTGATTAATTTTGTATAACGTACTCTATTTTGGTTTTAGAAATACAATAGCAACCGTTTTCCATAAGTTTCACTAGACCTCTCTAAGATAAGTAGTTTTTTCTGTGCGATTCAAAATGTAAAGTAAGTCTTCGTATCTTATTGGTAAACTTGAATATTTGAAATACAAGCAATAAACGTATACCCCGCATGACGCATGAGCTTTATACCTAGTTGAGGAATAAAGCTCAAGACTTCACCTTACCTAGTCTTATTTTCAACAAATAAAAAATTAATTAATTAATTATATGATAAATATTTTCTAATAATCAAAACCTTATTAACTATTCATGACATAATGAAAATACTTGTAACCCATAATTGGTAGTATACCATTGTTTTAAAACCCAACCCGTTGTGAGGCCCGACAAGGGTGAGCAAGTCACGGGTCTTTGGTCCAACCGGTTGGACCAAAGACATCATCCATAAAAATATTTTAAAATCTACAAATTAATCCCTTAAATTTAGTATATTACAAAAATATCCTTAAAATTGGAAATTAGGGCCTAAAATTTGAATTTATTTCAAAAATACCCCCAAACAATTAATTGATCCCTAATTTTTTGAAATATTTTAAAAACACCTCTAAAAAATTACAAAGTAGTCCCTACATGTTTGAAAAATATCAAAAAAACCCCTAGAACCTGGACCAATCCCAAGAGGCTGCCAGATCCCAATCTGACCGACCAGTCCGAGGTTTAAAACAGTGGTATACTTCAAATATATCTCAGATTCTTGAAGTTATGTTTATCAAATCAAAAATAGAAAATTTTGTCGAGTTTCCAATTGTTGTATGTTAAAAAATATATATATTATTGATTATTAATTAAGTAATATACCAAAAAAAAATTATAAAAAAATATTTTGAAAAATGAAAAGTAACTATGCATAATGCTAATTATGAAATAATGCTTTTATTATAAAGGATAAATTTTTTTTCAAAAAAAAAAAAAAAAGGTTAAAGAAGCTTTAATGTGCGGTAAATTTATAATAAAATCAAAAAAAGATACCTTAAGGTGAAACAATACCTGAGTAGGAGTCGGCACCTAGGATGATGATACACCTTCTAGCTGTTAAGAAATAAGAGAAAAACAATTCAAGAATAAATTAATTTTTGTTAAGTAAATAATAGTATAAGATAATTAAATGGTTGAACAATATCTGGGTGAAGGATCCGATTCTATTAGCTTGTTGTATGGAATTTATTAAGAGAAAAAAAAAAAAAAAAAACAACCATGATTTGTGATGTTAATTTATTAGTTCACTACATGTCAAAGAGAACAAGTGTAATGCTATTTTTTCTTTTATCCTATTCACTAACGCTAATGATCTTAATAGTCTTACATCACTAAGAAAGAGCTTGCTATAGTTCTACCCATCCTTTGAGCAAATCTCATGTAATTACACACACCTACAGTAGCTAGGCATACAGCCCAACCATCTCGGTATTTCGAGCCAACAGCAAGTCCCCGCCAACTTGGTGTTTTGTCATGGGATTGGCACTTACCTGAGACAACTAGGCATAAAGCCCGTGCCAACTCGGTATATTCTTCGATTTTCAAAATCCCTAGCTAGCAAAAAAAAAATTTGGGCACATAAGGATGAGGAGTTTTCATCTGCCACCCCCCTGAGAGATAAGATAATTTTAAATACCATCAAGGTTTTGCAAAAGTATGAAAAAAATAACCCCGATCTTCAGTCAAATTTAACAATTCTGTCCAATTTTTTATATAATATTAAATTATTAAAAAAAAAAAAAAAAAAAGTCCATTTTACCGGCTTTTTATGATTCACCAAACTGTTAATTGCTTGGAAAGACAATTTTATTTTAATTTTTTTTGAAGTAAAAAGAGCCTAATACCCCTTGACTCATAGGGTTAGATAATTAGTCTTCCAAGATTTCGCAAATGCCCTTATTTATGTTGACTTTAGTTGACTTGTGTATCTCTGTTTAGCAGCCAGCGAGTTTTAAACGTTAGGAGCATTTAAGTCGCCTCATCTCTCAAGGAGGTGGAGAAGAAAAAACCCTAAAGATGAGTGTTTAGTTACAAGAACATAATTTCACCTATACCTAAGTGAAGGTCGATTTCACGTTATCAAATGTGTCAAAACTAGCTTAGATTTTAAAGTAGATCAATGGAGAAACTAGAGTGAGGGTAATTTTTATGAAGCAATCTCATATTATTGCTGTTGTTTATTATCACATATATAACTCTCACATTTTTATTTATTACGAAGTCATAGTGAGAGCTACTAGTACAACATGAGACGCATGCTAACTAAATTATTTGTCATCGATCTAGAAACTTTTAATGCAAACGTCCCATTGTTGATTATCCTCATGTTCAGTTCTGTGGCTGCACCAGGGGGCGAATGATGATTTTGTCGACAACAATCCCTTTCTTCCACTGCGAACCGTGCTCATACATAGAGATTTCCATGTCCCCAGTCATACAGCAATTAATCGAAAACATGTCCACGGGGACGTCTGACCATTTGTTTTCTGGCAATATACTCAAATCTTGTTTGTGTTCCATCGGAGGTTGATTGGGGAGGGTGAGTTTCAAGTTCACTGGATGGTTTTGAAATCCTTCACATCCTTTCAACTTCATTAAGACAAACGAAACTTCGTAATTATGCCTTGGAGTGAGATTTTGTGTAGGGAATTTCTTGCTCACATCAAGCCAACAGACTTTTACTAGTTCAGCCACCTCCACTTCAACAGGATGACTGCAAAAACAAAATTAATTACAATTAGAAGAAGCGTTCATTTGGTACGCCTTATTTGAATAGAGTTTATAAAAATGGGTTTCATAAGCAAGTCAAATTTGTAAAATAAGATAAGAATATTTTTAAAATTTCAAAACTTTGAAAAAGCTCAAAAAGAGCTTACGAGAGGAGCTCACATTTTGAATTATTATCATAGTTGATTTAAAATTCAATACACTTTTGAAATAAAATCAAACAACCTAAAAATAAAAATTGCTTATGACTTTAAATAAACTTTTTTAATTATAGAGAAGTCCAACTGAACACACTTTAAATCTTCATTAACATAAAAAGTTAAGTAGAATTATATACTCTTTTGTGTCTTGCATGTAAGTCCACTTCCAATAACGTTCATCGTTTCCCCAAGCAATTGTGAGACCCCTTGCATAAATTTCAAAGGTGTTCGCACCAGAAAGCTTATCAACCGAAAACTTCTGCAGTAATATAATTTAATACTAAGTGTTAGTATTGAACTTAATTAATTGCTGCTTAATAATAAAAACAGTAAAATTGAAGATGATACAAAAACAATCTATAAGATATATGGGACTTGCCAGTTTGTTTTGGTTCAAGAAGATTCCACCGTGGAGCTGCTCAATCACATTGTCGGAGGACTTGTTAATCTGTAAGTCTGCCTCTTGAAGAATGGCATCGAGGTTGTGTGGGAGCTGAACTTGCGCTTGAAGCGCCATTTCGTGATGATCACTCTTCTCTTTAGTTCCAGTATCTCTTACTGATGATCTTCGTTTCATGCAGACCTTGAATTTATAGGTTGAGATGGTCGGATAAATTACTAATGGATTTCTACATCATTATATGAAAAAGATTTATTCCTTGATAAGGCATAGCTGGATTATTCCTTCTAAAAAACGACAATATGATCATGCTAGTAGGTATTGAATCATGTTATTCAAAAACAAATAAGATTCCATGCCCACCACTTTTACGTGGTATTACCTCAATTGCCCAATATTTCAAGGGTAACCTGCTACATTCAAAAATATTGTTTGGACGACCAAAACTTCACCAAATTTGCATAAATATTAATAAACCAAAAATATGATATAAATTCCTAAAAATTTTATTTTTATTAAAGAAATAATAGTAAGTTCATTACAATCAAATTGCATCTGGTTTCAAAGTAGACTTGGGAAAATGGAGCATACATATATAACTGGTAAGAGCAACGCTATACATACAAACTATCGCGGGCAGACCTATAAACAAAAAACATTCATTAGTTATGCATATTTTTATGTTTTGACTAAACTGTATTTGTGGTCATATTTCAAGATTTGACCCAACTCCCATATTTTTTTCATATGTATATTAAATTATTTACAATCCCTTGAATTAGTTTTCCTATAATTAATATTAAATTACTTTACTTGCCCCTCTAACATTAATTCCTAGTTCAGCCTGTAAACTATTCCTTATAAATTGATTTGGTAGCCCTGCATATTTGACATGTAGTCCTCTTTAATTCATTTAATTTATTCTTTAATTTAAAAATTATCCAATCATCTTAAAATACAACAATCTGTATCAGAAAATTTGTATAAAATGATTATACAAGTATTAGTGAACTTCTAATTGTGATCATCTTGAAGCTTTGTAATAATATACTACTCATTATTATTACCACATATGTAGTTATAATTTTCACCAAAAGATAATCTATATTACTAGTTGTGTAAGTATCAATTCATTAATTACACAAGTAGTTTTCTATTGTCAGGAAAGTTGTTGTTCTAATTGATAAACAAAATCGTTCCCCGTACATGATCTTGATCATAAAAAGATCTATAATAAGACAAACATTATTCTTTATTCCTTTGACAAAATAGGATCAATGTTTTTATAGTAATGAGCAACATGAATATTCTTGTCCTAGAGGATAAATTTGATTCTCAACCCTCTTCCATTTCTTTTTTCCTCATTTTGTTTAAGAGAATATTCTCATTTTGTTATCAATACTTCAGCAAATTATCATATCGGGCTTAATCCAGTGCATATCTGAAATTTGATAAATTTATTATGCATTTGAGTATGAAGTATACGGTACATCAGTTTCTTTATAAACTTTAAGTTATACAATGATTTATAATTTTTATATTATTTAAAAATAAAATAAAAAATCCTAAAACAAAGCTCAAGACATAGATGAAAACAAAACATTATCATCATATATGGGACTAATAAAAATTCTCTATATCAATTATTTTTGTAGGATATTGATATGGAGAATCTAAATTCATGCAAAAAAATATTTCAATTATCTACATCTTAATCATAAAAGGGTTTATTCTTTAACAAGGAAAACATTATGTCTTTATTCCTTCTGACATGACCAATATTCTTAAAAATGAACATCTTGAATGACTATATCACGGATGATAAATCAGATGTCAAGAGATGATCGGTCTTAGTTACTAAGTATAGACTAATTTTCTAATTAAAGGACCATTAGTTTTGTTGATCAAGTTGAGTAGACAGCATGCAAACCAATTAAATTAATTTTCGAGGCCAAACAAAAATAATGAGACATATTTCTGATCATCACCAAACATGTTGATATTTTTGTCAAACTTATGATGTGTACATAATTGTGGTATGTTTGCTGCTGATGTCAAACTTATGCATGTTGTGTTATAGTGTGTACACAACTGTTGTATGTTTGCACACTATGTCAATCTTATGCATGTTGCATTTTATATTATAGTGTGTGCAGTGGCAGACCCAGCCCCTTGGAGGGTAGACCCCACATTTTTTTTTTTCTTTTTTTGAAAAACAATTGTTTATATAGGCCCATAAAAAAAAAAAAAAATTGATTAATATGAATATATATATCCAAACATATCCTCAAATTTTAAAAAAAATGAGAAATATTATACAAATATTCAGGCCCATAAAAGACTTGCGATTAATATATATGTTCAGGCCTACATAATATTAAAAGCTTAAAACTCTCTCCACTCTTCTCTCCGTCCACCTGTTTTTTATGATTTTATCCCTAAAATTCTTTACTTTCTCATTCTCTCTTTCACTTTCTCTATGTTATTCGTTCTTAAAACTTTTAAAGACTGAAATTATTGAAGCTTCCACTAAACAAGGTGCCACAATTAGTTTACATTTTCTGTTTTATCAGTTTTAGGTATGTGTGTTACTCATTTCATTTTAGGGTTGAATCATGCTCATTTTTTGGAGATTTTTTATTTTAATTTGATGGAAAAATGCATGGATCTTGTGAGTTTGTTTTGTATTGTGTTTTGTATCTAAGAATGTTCCTACTTTCCCAAATTAAACCTTAACTATATTTTACTGAACATTATTCTTCATCCTTCACCCACCACTTTCCTATATTCTAAGCATTACCGTTTAATTGCTCAAAATTATTAAAGAAGTTTGAGTTATTATCTATGTTTATGCTAAGAAAATTTCCCTTTTTTTTATTAATTCATATTAAAAGTCAAGGCAACGTTAACTTAATTTAAGTTTTGGTTGACTTTAGCTTAGGCTAGGCCTGATCAAAGTCATAAAAATTTATATTATAATCTTTAAAAGCAAAAAAAAAAAAAAAAAAAAAAATATTATAAAAAAAAAAAAAAAAAAAAAAAAAAAAAAAAAAAAAAAAAAAAAAAAAAAAAAAAAAAAAAAAAAAAAAAAAAAAAAAAAAAAAAAAAAAGGAGAAATAAGAAATTTGTTATTTTTGATGGATTGTGATTATTGTAAACTTTTTTAATTATATTGGATTTAAGTATATCGTTAGATTCCTGTAGTCTTTTGCTCTCTTTAATTAAAGAGGTTTTTCCACGTAAAAATGTTTTTGCCTTTTTTTGTGAATTGGATGTTATTTTCAACATAATTTGCTTAAGGTTTTGCTTCTCATAGATTTATTTAAGTAGTAAAGTATTGTGTTATTACATTATTTTCTTGCATATTATTAATATTGTATTATTTCCTTTGCTTAAGATTTTGTGATTTTTTTTTTAAGTTTTCACTAATTATTTAACAAACAATGGCAGAGCCGCAACCTACCTCTGCCACTAAGTGTGTGCACAGTTGTTTTGTGTTTGTACACTGATGTCAATCTTATGATGTTGCATTTTATGTTACAATGTGTGCTCAATTGTTTTGTGTTTGCACACTTATATCAAACTTATGCATTTTGCTTCTTTATTCAAATATGTACACACATCGTTCTTCTGTGCAAGCATCTGCATGTCTGACTCATTTTGCCTAGTGGTGTATTTTCATTATCTGCTGATATGTTTTTCCTTATCTGGTATGCTAGTGTGAGGACCACTTACAGTTGTCCTAAAACCCACAAGTGGTCCAAGGAATTAGTCTTTCTCTTTTTAGTAGTGGTCCCGAAAGTTTGGTGGAAATCTTTCCTATTTTGGATCAACATATGTCAGCCTTGGTTTGTTGACTTGGCAAGAATTGTTGAGCAAGAAATTCCCTATATCATTTTCTTTCTTGTGTCTATTTGAACTAACTGATAGACAAAATTCTATATCGCACAAGTGCACGAATCTCTATCGAAGTATAGCACAAAAGCAAGGATCGACCCACAAAGAATTGTAAGTTATCAATTAAATCTAATAACAATGCAGTAATTAGATAAAATAAACCAAATTAATCAACTAATTAATAATTCTAAAATAACAGTGAAATAAAGAAAATTAACAATTAAAGTAAGGACGATTATAAAATGAGTGAGAAACAAATGGGTAAAGGTCTAGGTACCCAATTTCACCATAATTATCCTACCCTATGCCAATAATCTAACTATTTATTGTTTTAATTCAAATCGTCGGACCGATACTCACCAAATTAAGGTATTATCGTAGGGCATTCGAGATTAACCTAGTGCTTTCATCATTAAACTAGCTAGGTATAGTCTAGTCTAATTACTGAAAACCCGTTAAGATTACGAGTACCCAAAGATCACAAACTAATCTATATCTGTCAGACTGTATGTATAGACACAAATCATTCATTCACAAGAGTTATTCAAGATTAGCTAGGGTGTATAGTCTAACCTTGACTCACGCAATCAATTAATCAATTATTAAAGATGATCAAGCAATAAAAATGATTAAAGATTGAATAAACAACAATGAATGAAACTAAGATTGTAATGAATTGATTAAATAGGTTATTTAGATTAAAAACAAAATATTCAAATTAGGCTACATTTGATGCACTAGATAAGGGTTTAGCTACTCATAATTACAAGAGAACAAACCTTAATCTTACTCATAAGCATCATAAATCCACAACAAATAATCAAGATTTAGTTCCTTGCCTCTCAAAAACCCCTTCTCCAAGTAAGCCCAAATGTTTACAAAGTTTGGAATGTTATGAATACCTAAAATAAGAATTTAGCTGCCCTTATATAGTTTTTTACAAATAATGGCAATTTGGTAAACATTGGAAAGTCAAACAAGGTTGGAAATGCATAATTTTTGCATTCTGCTCTAACGGTGCCGCGATGCTGTTTATGGCGCCGCAACGCAACTCCTGACGATTTGTGCTTCGACAGAATCCTATCCACGCTATGGCGTGGAATGAATCATGTTGAGGCACATGCTGGATTTCACTGATATATGCCATGGCGCCATAAATCTATGCTACGATACAACTAGGATTGCATCGATTTATGCTGCAGCCTGATAAACCTACGCTACGACACAACTAGGATTGCACCAATTTGCGTCGTGGCGCAACCTTGAAGTTGCACTTTTT